TTTTTAGTGAAGAGAACTGCCATGTGAGTTTTATTAGCTCATTTATGTTTTTTGTACATTTTTCAGTTTCACTAGCACATTTATGTTGGTTCAGCGAAGAGAACTGCCATGTGCCCGTTTTTCACATTACTATTTATGCAATGTTTACCAAACCCGGGGGTGCGGACTCTGTCAAGCCTGATATATGGCTTTTAGGGGCGAAGCTCCTTAAGGCGTGGGTCTGTACATCCTTCGATGTTGTACGTAGCCACCAGTGGCACATACCCGCTCTAGAGGATGCGAGATGCGATGCACAGGGGATCCGAGATGGGAGATGGTGGTACTTGGAGTGTTCACTAGGTGGACGCATGGACGGATGCATGGACGGACGAACAGACAGACTAGCAGACGGACGGACAGACGGATGGACGCACGAAGCGGGTGTGTGCCACAGGGGATGCGAGATGGTGGTACTTGGAGTGTTCACTAGAAGGACGCACGGACAGACGGACAGACATAATAAAAGACGGACGAACAGATGGACGGACGCGTGGACGTACGGACGGATTGATGGATGGATGCATGGACGGAACCACGGACGGGCTGACGGACGCTTCACCCCACTCATCACCATTAACTCCGTAGATATGCTGTGATTTTTTCGTGTGTACCCACCAAGCTTCATTGATTGACTTTGAAGCTAAAAATAAACCCCAATTGACTGATTGATTGACTGAATAAATTTAGGGCCCTTAAAATGATGAAACATTGCTTAATGCTGCTCTGTAGACTAGAAGATAAGTGTAGGCGCAAAGAATGAAAGCTTCAGTCAGGAATTGAAGTAGGCATGTATGTGTACATTATTTGTGTCTTGCAGTAAGCAACAAGCCGAGAGTCCTTTCTTTTTTTAATTGATGCATGGACTACCTCATGATGCATAATATTTTTCGTGTATATGTATACCGTGTGTGCGCGGTTAAGCTAGTGCTGAGTATTAAGTGACGTAGTGTCTTGTGTAATGCGTTGTCATGCATCCAGTGGTCATAACTTGTCATGTTTGTAGCAAAGGCGGGCTTCAATAAGGTGGCAGTGAAGCGCTCATGTTAATTTCGATATGACTTGTCCATTTGACTACTGTACCTTAAAAATAAAAAAAATAGACATGAGCTTTTGCATGCTGCGCTAGGCAGCTCGTTCCAGAAGCGTTGTGTAACACAATTCATAGACTGCAACTTGTCAATAATCTACGTGTGGAGTCACGCATATTAAGGCGAGAGCCATATATGCATGCCTCACCAAATGAGGCAGTTGACCGTCGGCATACTGCGCGGCTTTGGCGTCAACTCGGGCAATGAAAAAGTTCTCGTCCCATGACGACATGACCACTTGACGTCATATGACGTTACAAATAGTCAGAGTGCATTACGTATTAGGTGCATGCAGCTTTCAGTGGGGAACCGGACGGGTGAGGTTCGGTACACGAACACAGAAGAAAAAGAAGTAGACTGCCATCGCTTTCGAGTCATCATAAAGTCCATCATAAATTTAATTTTACATGATGATGTAATAGTATCCTGGCATCATTGCGATTGTGACGCAATCATGGCATGTAATGACGTGGCGAAGAACCTTAGGGTCTCGGCTTCTAGGGGTCTAACGTCGTCGCGGTGTGTTGCGTGTAAGTGAAGGTCAATCATAAAAACGGCCATGTGCTAAAAACACGGGGTGATTACCGCTACTCGCCGCCGGTCCACTAATTATGCAGAAGGGAACAATTAGGCCATCCTAATTGCCGACGACGTTCGTGGAACTGAAACACAGTTCTCTGCATGCCTCGCTGTTGCCCAGTTTTTTTTTGTTTTTTTTTTAACTGAAGGTGAGAAGAGCATCCCTCGGAACCAACTCGCGTGGCTCTGAGAAATAGGCGAGTGTTCTAAGGCAAGCAGCTGACGGTTATAGTCACTAGGCGATGATGCGTCTTACAAGGAGAATACTCCTGGCTTCAGGATGTCGCCTTTCTTCGCGCGTCGCTGTTTCCCGTTCCGAATTAGTTCCGTCGCTGGAGGTGGGTGTGCCCCGTGTGACGATCATGGTGTGACGTCGAAATAACGTCACACTCTGTCGCCAAACAGCGTTGCTGTCGTCAGACTATGTCCGCAGTGGCCGGTTCGCCTTACCTCAGCTCATGTGGGAAACTTCTAAGAACTTGTATACGCAGGAGTGTTGTGGGTGCGAGTTGTTGATATGTTTGAAATGGCTATAGGCCTTAAAGAATTATAGAAACCGAGGAGCAGGGAGTGCGGAGGAATAGAAAGGAATGGCCGCGAGGTCAACCAAACAAGTGAAGAAAAGCACAGGTTGTATGATTTGTGCCGCCTTTTCTGTGTCGCAATGATTATCGTTTCAATTGGAAATAATAAAAGTGTGCGAAAAATGACACTTTCTATTAATGGGAATCGAACACACATACTTCGAATTACGTGTGGGTTCGGATTCCATTGACGGAAGGGGTGGTTTCCCATCCACATTATTTACTTTCAATTTAAGTGAGAATTATTACAACACAGTTAAGAATGCGAAAATTATATCTCCTGTCACTTTCTTCGCTTAATTGCCTCTCGGTTTCATTCGTCGGGCATAACACAGAAAGCGAGACCCTCGGACCATCTCTTTACTTTCGTAAAAGTGAAATGGCTTGATTGCGTCCCCTCACTTCGCCCCTTATTTATTTATTTATTTTATTCCGCACTGTTCATGTGTTGTGCAAAGGAATACCAACTGGCTCACACCTTCGCGCTAATATGAAACGTCTGTTGATTCGAAAACTTTCCTTACTTTTCTGGCTTGATTTCATCTCCAGCGACTCATCTACGCTTACAGTTTTTCCACTGCTTAATATACATCGCGGCCATACGTATTAACAAACTGTCCTTTCACAGCCTCCCATATCGTGATTCGTGTGAAATCTAAGAACAACTTTCTTGACGCGAAAACCGGCCGAGAAAAACGTGCTAATCACTTCAACGCATGATAATGAGCTCCGCGACGTTAATTTATCTTTCCCGTGTTCTTTGTCTCAGCAAGCACGAGAGCTGCCGTCATTTGTAAGACAGGGCAGTTGACGGCTCCAAATCGCCGGCAGAGACTCTCGGCTCATCAAGAATGACCACTGCCATGGACGCGGCGCCTTTTAGCGACAAGACAATTCAACGGGCTCAAAGTCACCCAGTCTACGCCGCTTACATTCGCCTTTAGCCTCCATCGCCGAGTCGGCTCTGCAGGTATACGGCGTTTTTTCTGCAAAAAAAACAAATCCTTCGCTGCAGCTCGTTTCCGTAGTGTGATATATTGAAGATTCACCACTGACATCTATCGCCTGTACATGCATACCACGCATGGCCGGCGATCGTGCAACGCCCGACCCGGAGTAGCCTTGCATGCTAAACGAAGTTCACCTCCTGTCTGACCCTCACTTGCGTTTCTGCCTACGTGAGTCGCTCCGTTTCCAGCATAGTTAAAGGGGTTCAGACACGACAACCATACAGACAAAGAACTTTATTGTGGTACTGAGGAACTGCGTTGTGACGTCCCCTTTCAGGGGTGATCCGTAGCAGTCGCGGGTCGCTCCCATGTATAGTGACCGCAAGACAATGACCCTCCACCCTCTAGCAGGCCCTCTGGACAGGCCGAAGTTGAACGGAGAGGTCACCGCTGTTTACGGCTTCCTTCCAGTCCATCTTCTTTGTTAAACTCGGTGTCACGAGAATTTTCATTAGTCTTTTTTTTTTTGCGTGAAATTAACTCATGCTCTCAAGATGCTAAAAAATTGAAATGGCAACTGTGTGTTTGTCCTGCAAAATTAAAAACAGTATGTCCTTAAACGCTGACTTCGGTTCTTACTGTACCCCGACGTCAAGACACAATACAGAGTTCTCTCCATGAGCTTTTGCAAGTTATCACGATGTTTACGTGGTTACTCCGCTCTGTTGCTGCGTAAGTGGCACACAATGGACCAATTTGTATATTTTTGGTTACTGACATCATCACAACTAGCCACGCTGATGCGTAGGGTCCCCAGAATCGATATTTGAGCCTAACGTCACGCTATTCTCGACGTCGATAGGTAGACCATGGGAAAACCGACTTTAATGCAAATATGCAATACCCTATCAGCAATCCCTGGGCTTCGCGCTTGCTCAGAGCCGTCCACACAGGAGGTTTCTACGGTGGAATCAGGTTCGAAAATTTTTACCGGCATCCTTTTAAGTGCTAGACGAGCAACCTCCTCGCGCGTGGCTGCGAAGAGTCACTCGCACGTCGGACGAACTCGAGTGGCAGCGTTTCCAGCGGATGCTTTGAAAGGATGTCCGGCGCCCGCCCACCCCGCGGCGGCAAACCACCGGCGCGGTGAAACGTCACTGGCGCGACGACGAGAGGAGCGAGTTGAGTTCAGGGCACTGCGGGGGCACGACTGGCTTCGACGAAAGTCCCGTGGCTTCCAACGAGAGAGGGAGAAGGCACCGCGTCGTCTTCTTTGTTTACCCCGCCGTGGGTCGTCCCGATATGGTATTGGATGCACGCGTCTGGCGGGTCGATTCGTCGCTTTTACATTGATGTTCTCCGCCCTAAGAGCCGGATCGGGCCGCACGGGTGCGACAGCCTGGAGCGATACAGTATAAGAAACGGCTGCAGATGGGGTTTGCAAGCGGTACGACCAGATTGTGTCCCGATCGGTTCGAGAGAAAGAGAGTAGAGTGAGAGAAGGGGTCAGAGGCTTTCGGTGAGACGCCGGTCCTTGCGTTGGACGAACAATTAAAAAGAGAGACGCGCCTGCGGCTTGACAGAGGCTCTTCGTCCTGTCTGATATCAGTTGGATGAGAAGGATTTCGTCTGCGTCAGCTGGCGCGCGTGTGTACTACGAGCCTGGTGACGCGAGAAGGGTATCGCAGCTACGCACGGCCCGTCTCCCTCACGCACAAGCGTTACCCTTTCCTCTTCATCCTCGGCGTTGCGCGGCGAGCGAAAAACACGAGAGTCGTACGTGTATAAAGGGCAGTCCGGAGAGGAACTTCCTCGGCGTTGCCTCTGGCGTTGGTCATCCGGGAGCGTGCCGACGGACGCTTCCCATCTCGCCGCCGGTAGTGAGAGTGGTTCGGTGGTGGTGGTGCGGCGGCCGCCGAGCGAAAAAAGAAGAGCCATTCGCGGGGCGCGTCGTAGTCGTCGGCGCGTGTGCGTTGCAAGTGGGCGCACGTCTCCGCCGTTTGCTCGTTTACTCCCGGACGTCGACGAGCACGTGCACACCCGTGTTGTTTGCTTTCTTTCCTGTCTCTGACTCGGACGACTCACCGTGCGCGAAGGACTCTGAAATTGCTACGAGCTCGTCAAACGACCCGTCTGTGATCACCGGCAAACAGCAAGCGACTTCTACTCATATGGTTTGGACAGCTGTGGTTCTACGCTAGTTTACCATTTGTACACCGTCAACTTCGTCAAGGACACAACCTGTTGGAGCAGCTCACGGATAATTTCGGACGTTTTGCCATGTTTTCGACGCTTAGGCCAACGATGCCACTAAGGGTGAGTCGACTTCTGCGATGCGAGGTCGCTGTGATTATTTTTTTTAGCTTAAACTTGTGGAGGCAGAAATCACGAACTACTTATAGCGACGAACTAGATTTGACTGCCTGTGGCACATGCGACAGAAGCAAGTTTACAGGAGGCTCCTCTATCTGAAGATGATTCACGATGGTGCGGCCAAAGCTCACTACATTGCACAACTCACTACATACCACCGTCTCACGTAATTTATTCTGGTTTGAAGTTTATTCAGCATTGAAAACATATACAAAATATAGACATATTTATACAACAGCATAAGAAAAAGTGAGGTACAAATCGGAAGATTGTGATTATAAGTAGCAATGGTTTACACACAGGACCCTCTTTGCATTGTACATTAGAAGGATTTTACTAAGTAAGAAATGTATAAGATGAGAACATGTGGTGGCGTACTTACGAATTTTGCTGAGTTAGTGTATATTAGTTTCGCTTTAACGAACGTAACACTGCAAGAAAAAAATGAAATATTGGATGAGCTGACTTCTGCAGCGACGTGAGGTTGCTGCGATTATTTTTTAACTTTAACTGGCGGTGTAACGAATCGAGAAAGACCCTTGGAGGCAAACCATAGACTTGAGAGCTTGGATCATACAACAGAACCTAGTTGACAGAAGGATGCTCAGCCAGAAATTTAGGCAAGGAGATGGGAAAAGCTTCAAAAGAGTGGCTACTTGGGCTGGTTCGTATTGCGTTTTGAAAGAAATTTGTTTTTCTAGTGCGCAGGGAATGTTTGAGAAAGAAGATAGAGCCGTGATATAGGACAGAACGTACACTTACAACCAATTTAGTTGCACAGATGGCGGGAATATATATACAGTCAAGAGGGTGAGGAGATCACACACCGAGGAAAAAACAAATGATGGCGCATGTGCCAGACCATCTTATTTCAATCTTAAACTGACAACTTAACTGAAAATATACTTGTATTCATTATCTAACAGGTTTACGGATGGGGCACTGATACACTCAGTTCCTGCTTTACGAATCAAAAAAGCCTCATATGTTTCACGTGCCCTCTGGTCCTTATATATTGCCATTACTTGGCTTCCTATTTCGAATGGTTCCAATTGGTTTGATGATATTCTGATGATTAGCCATTGGTTACACTTTATTTCACGAGATTACAGCAAGATATTGGGAAAGTGAAAGGCACATCTCACAAGGATGAGTAAAAGTGGGAAAAAATTTACGCGTGCGAAGCTTCTCTGTTTATTGCACACTATAGAATGCTTGTACTTGGTCAATAATGGATATTATGGGAGTATACGGAGACATATGTGGGACTTTTGCTTTTCGTAGTGTATAATGATTTCGATTGAAACAACTTATTACTGTTGTGAGCCAAGTATTGCCAATTATGTCGAGAAGCGAAAAAAAATTGTGACCCGCTCTTTCACTGATAATGAAGTTATATAATCATTCCTTGTTATCACACGAGCTGCTCCATCTTCCAGCTTTATGAGAAACAACAATGAAGTAATAATTGCAAGACACAAAACAGTTGGGCATTATCGTATGAAGCGATTCCAGATAAAAAATCTATTTCTGTGCACATTAGCCGCGAAAAACTTCTAGTGACATTGTGGGTAAAACTTTTCGCCTTATAGCACTATTCTCAATTGGACATTGCAGGATCGAACACCTTGCCTAGTGTTATAATACTATAAATACTGGTTTATTTAATGTACGTGACTAAATACTGTAGTGACTGCACTGCATGACTCAACATATCACCTAAGGTCAAAACGTTTGAAGACTATTAATAACCACTAAAGGTACCGCAACCGCAAATTTGAGAGTGCAGAAAACGGTGCCAGACAACAGCACGTCGGTCACGAGAAGAAATTAAGACTATCATAACGAGGCTCGTCAACGTCTCCGTTTCGCTTTTATCAATTTCTGTACTCCGTTTCCTGTGAGCTCACTTTGTACGATAATCATATAATAAAATCAACACTATATTTTTGTCTGATATATGGCCCCTGTAAACGCAACACATTTTGGGTACATTTTCACGGTCAACTCCAGCCCTCACAAATGGCCACCCTTACGACGTTTCGTACTGTCCACAAAAAGTTTAACTGCAATGACACTGTTATTTTCTGTAGGAATGGAAAAGGCAGCAGCTTGTTTTTATTAATTTATTTTCTTGCGCTGAAAACAAAAAGCCAACTAAACGTCTCAGGGCAGTCTGCGTTCGGTCGGATACTAGTGTGCTTCGAAAGAAAGTACATTCTAGTGTACGTAGGTTTTAGTACATGAGGTCAGTTTCTTTTTTTTCTTCCTCTGTCATGATAAATATGCCTTGCAAAAATTATCGTAACGCAAGTGGCCATTAGAAATGTCTAAATGACTCAAGTAGAAGCGCCCATCACTTCCTCTGGGCACGTGCAAGTGAGCTACACCTTGAGAGCCCCATTTCGAGTACGACAGCCACAAGAAAATGCATGCAAGTAATTGAAATGCGAAGGCACGAGGGGAATGCGGAAATTATATATACGACTACAGAGAAACAAAAAGTCTAAAAATCAGTGGGAATGTAACGATGCCTTCAAATTATGCATTAGGTCTCCCTCTCCAATGCCCTCTTTGGCCTCTGGGAGAAGGAGCCGCTCGTGCTGGCAACCATCTGACATTTCTTATTTATCAATTTAATGTTTACTTAAGAACATGCACATAGCTGTAATCTCTATTTCCATTCAAGGAAGCGAAGTCTGTATTCAAAAATATCACTTTATTTTCTTCTACGAGGAAAACAAAAACAAATATGAATACGCTGTCTGAAATCGATGATGTCGAAGTTACGGCACCAGCGTGGTATCGCTGAATTGCCAAGAATGGGGAGCTTGGTCTCCAGTTTGCTAGCAAGACGTTTTTCCCAAAGGGAATCAATTTAAACTGAGCTTTGAAGTAAGATGAATTCAAACATGTTCTTTTTTTTCTAATGAAGTAAAGCTTTTATTCATGTAGAATCATTCGAAGATCCTTCAGAACTTCATAAACTTCGAGAGCTTTATGAAGGTCGCTTTCAAATGCAATTGAAGCCAAAGCTATTCCAGTGAGGCAAGCTTTGTTCATTCGGGATTGATGCTCACGAGTGGCGCCCGTGAATTCAATCGTCGTTCTCGAGCTATTAATAGTCAAGACACGGAAAAGAAAATAGCACGAAGTGAAATTAACTGAAACGTATGGAATGAAAGTAAAGGAACTGCAACGCATGCGATTATATATTTCTGGCAACGTTTTATCTGATGTTGAGTGTCCCAAATCGAGTGATAATATTCCGCAAAGCACACATTTGAAGTTGTGCATAGTTAATTTTAAGGAAATGGTTTCAACCTAAAGCACAAATTGGCGAGTGCCAACAGAACAACAGTGCCAACAGGTCTACGCTATCGAAACAAATCGAATTTTAGAGGATGCGTGTGGATAACACTGCGCATGCACACTCTCGCATTTGCTATGCGTCAGAAACACCAAAGCGCAATATAATCTCATGACTTGCGCAATCAGGCCATGTACGTGCTTAGTCTAATTTTCGCGCTGTATGGACATTCCGTGGCAACCATTATCAAGGTTATACGAATACACCCATCGAGTATCTGATAAGGCTACGTACCTCACTTGCTTAGCGATGCTTTCTCGTACAAAAGATTTTTTTGTGTGTGTCTGTTGTACGCACTGCGGCAATATTCTTTAGATTGGGAAATGTGAGCCGATTGCAAAAGCTTACGTTGTACTGTTGTGCATAGATTCAGAAACTTTGTCCGTGGGGTGACACTGAAAGTGTGACAGAACGATACCGAAAGGCCTCTTGCGAAGTTTGGAGTGTTCTGGTTTGTAGGTCGCACGCAAGCAAAACTGCGCCTAGAATTTCAGGTTGCACCGCAACAACAACGCGATGGCGCGCCTCCCTGGCACAGAACGTGCGTCTGATAGATTGTGCCGCGTATTTCCTGCTGCTTTCGTTTCGCAAGACCACCGGTACTGCGAAGCGCGAAGTAGCAGAAGCATTACGATGCAGCGTTCTTATTTGGTTGGCGTGCTCGAAAGTGCTGCTGCTATTCCGATAACGTCACTGTTCTCGTTGCTCATAGTTGTCTGCCACTTCCAGCAGCATGTATGCGATGAGTAGAGAAAAAAAAGAGATAAAAATGAAGGGTTATTACGTTCCGAGTGGTCACCACACATACTAACGACACCATTCAAACAGCCACAAGAGACAAAGACCATTTATCACGACAATGGCCATTACTATTCTAGCCCCAGCGCTTGTCCAATCCAACATTGCAACTGGTTAGAGTTTCGTAGACGTTGCTGTATGCATCCAACTTACTATGCAAGCTGTAAAAAAAAGAAAAAGTAACAGAGGCGCTAACTCCAGCCTCTAAAGGGCATGCCTTACTTGAAATAACTTTATGAATATTTACGCATCTAACCGAAGCCCCAGAGCGCCCATGCTTCTTTTCTTGTTTTCATATCGAGGTCAGGCGCACCGTAATGTTAAATCATTAAGGCGAAAGCATTATATGCCTCATCGAACGCCAAATGCGACTGTTGGCGTCCGCTGCATCGGCATCAACATGACTGATAAAGAAATCGTCATCATGCGACGACGTCCTGTCATGACGATGTCACAATGTTACGTCTCAAGATGACGTCATTAGATGACACCGCCTGCTTCGTCTCAGTGGGGCCGATCTCGAAGGCGCTGCAAAACCTAGTGTTGTGCAGAGGAAAACGTTACGCTTATTAGGATCTAGGAAGCAATGCAAAACCACGTAGGGTGCAGAAGGCTTCCATGCTGGGGGAGGAGGATCAATGTAATCCACTAAGAAGAGAAAAAAAATGTGGTTATGTTCATACAGACATCTTGGGCAAATTCATAAAGAACCACGCAAGTTACTATATACGCTCGCGTGGGCACAGCGCCTCGTCCACCAATCGAAGGTCTACCG